GCTTTGTTCCGCAGGGGAACGAGTGGATACCGCTAGTCCGCGGCCAGTCTGCAGTCCTTCCCCTGGTCAGCCCCAGGGCGAGCGCCGAGGTGGTCCGCCCCACCTCGGCGCGTCTCTCTCATCCCAGCATTCTCGGGGCCGCTCTGCCTCGTGTATTGTGCTCTTGTTCCTCGTGTGCGTTGTGAGGGCAGGATGGTGCCACGCCCGGTCGCCGACAAGACTTGGCTGTGCAAGACCTGCATCCACGAGCGCACGGGCGAACCTTTCTTCAATAAGGCCGACAGAACAACATGCTTCTCGTGCAGGCGTCCCAAAAGCAGTTGTTTCAAGGCCTACAAGCAGTCCACCACAGACCCGAGCGTGCACGCTGGAGGTCTCAAGGCAGGTGGCAAGAAAGCCACCAGCGCTGGCTCGGCACCGTGGGAGGTGGCCAAGCAGCTGCGCTTGGCGCAGGAGACGATCGCCAAGCTCGAGAAGCAAGTCCAGGCCAAGTACGTGCCAGCGCCTGATGCCATGGCCGTGTCGGAGCCAAAGGCTATGGGAAATGATTTCGATGAAGGCAAGTATCGTGCACGTATTTTGGAGTTGGATAAGGAGATCGCTGTCGCCAGCAAAGGTGTTGGCGCAGCTTGGGACGTCCTCAAGGAGGCGCTCACCAAAGAACGCAGCGAGCTCCAGGGATAAATTAACAAGCGCAAGCCTGCCGCCTCACGCATGTTCGTTGTTGGCAAGCAGATTGAAGCTATGGGCAAGCAAATTGCCAAAGTGGAGAAGGACGTTGACGACCAAAAGGCGGTCATCAAGGAGCTCCAGGATGTGCTGGCGCAGGCAGAGCAGAAGGTGCTGGACAAGAAGGCCAAGCTGCTCGAGCTCCAGACCCAGCACGCGGACTTGGCGCGTCAGAGCTATGTCCCACCTGTACCTAATGATGACGGGGAGTCTGGGCAGACAGTTCAAGCTCTGGGCCTTGATACCACCAAGTTGGGCGAGGTTTTGCGCGCCCTTGGAGCTGGTGACAGGACTGACGCCATCGCGCACGGAGTGGCTCAAGCACTGCCACAAATCATCACGAATGCTCGGTTGCAACCTGTGGGTGCGCCTCGACATCAGGCGAGTTCTGAGCTGCTGGACAATGAGTCAATTGCTGCTGATGATGTCCCTCTGGTGCCTATCAAGAAAGCAACCGAAGAAGTCTTGCGGCCTTGCCTGGCGGGGGCGGGTCAGGAGGTGCCCACGACCTTGGAGGAGATGCGTGATGCAGCCAACCGACTCTGCAAGCTGGAGCAGCATGCCAAGCAGAGGAAGGGGCCAGGCTACCAGGCCTACTAGGCCAAGGAGGCTAATCCGCGCCATGATGATGTTCACTTTTCTGGTTAAGATGACGAATTCCGATTCTAAGGTCAAGGGGCAGATTGTTACGGTCAATACTGATGCAACTGGCCCTTTGCTACGTTATGTGGAACAGGCCACAGATGCGGTGATACTGGTTCAAGAACATAAGTCTGATGGCCTGATGCTGCCCAGCCTGCAGTACAAGCTCAAGTGCATGGGCTACCACGGCGTTTTCTCGGCGGCCAAGCGCGCGGCAGCTGACGGGCTATCAGCGGGGGTTGCAGTGATCACGCCGAGCTTTATCACGATTACGGCGCCACCGCTGCTCAAAGACCCTGAGATTGTGCCCTCTCGGGCCGTGGCAGCGCAGGTCAACTGGGGCCTGAAGAGAGGGTTGGTGGTCATCTCCCTCTACTTGCAGGACTCCGTTGACTTGAATGACTACAACCTTATGATTCTACACCAGGTGGCGCAATACGTGGGCCGCCTCAATGCCGCCACTCGGCCTTGGGTCATTGGAGGTGACTTTAATATGAGTGCGAATTTGATTGGTTCACAAGAGTGGGTGGCGCAGACTAATGCGTTGATGATGGTACCTTCGCAAGTCACATGTCGTGCCACCAACTCTGTCGAGGGCAAGATTTATGATTATTTCCTGGTTCACTCTTATCTGGCTGCCATCGTTGAGCCACCAGATGTGTTGGCTGCAGCAGGGCGACCCACGCATGCTCCTGTGGCTCTTTCGATTCGAGCAGTGCCCAAGCAAATCTGGCTGAGGGCCCCTGTTGAGCCCGAGCAGCTACCTAAGCTTCCCAAGCAAGGTTGTCCGCGATTTCCTATGAATTGGGATCAAGTGATGGACACCATTCTGCGTGCTCATGACGACGACGCGCTGAGGATGGCTTGGGGCGCAGTCATTACTGGAGTGGAATTTGAGATTCTCAACAGATACGACGTGGTTGACGATGAGGCGGCTCCATTCAGGGGTAGAGCGGGCCCGAGGGACACCAAGTTTGTTGAAGCACACTGGGCCCCCCCAAGAGGGAGGCGGGAGCTCTTGGGCCGACGGCCTTAGCTTGGCAGGCTGCGGCCAGATGGGCGAAACATCTCATGAGAGTGCGAGCCTTCTGGATCAAATTGGCGCAGGAAGCTGTGCGTGATGATAGGCGGGCGGGCGAGTTTCACCTTCCTGACCACAGTTCGCCCTGGTCTAGCCGACAGCCTTCCATGGTACCTGCTGCCGCAGCTCCCATGAGAGACGAAGCAGGTGAAATCTGGACGACGGTCACCAGCAGATCGAGTTCACAGAGGGCATCTACGAGTGGGTCATGCCGCCTACGCCCTATGAAGGACGAGACTGCCCCGCGGCGCGCGTCCTTTGCTGATCCGTGCATGCCCGCGGCTCTCAGCTCAGTGACCCCGTGCGGTGGTATCGCTGGAGGGTCGGTGGCGCCGAGTCCTGCTCCTTCGGCCTGTGATGTCTCTGCCCCTGGTAGAGGGCCTACGGGGTCTACTTCGGCGACCGCGGCGACTGCGTCAGCCTCGAGGCCATGTGAGGATCCAAGTAATCCTGGCAGAACGCATTCCAGGAAGCGGCGAGCATCAGCGAGTCAGAATCCCATTGATAGATTGGCTCGTTCGCTGGTGGACACAGATCGATTTTTGCTCAAGATAGTGGGGCATCAGAACCACATGATGAATCACCTGGATGAGGAGACTCAGAACTTCTTCCTAGATGGCATAGCCTTGCTAGGAAGGGGCGACTTCGAGCAGCAGATCTACCGTATCGTCGAGCATGCAGATGCACTTCACCAAGTGCATAAAAAGAAGGTGGAGGCCAGCTGGAAGTCTTGGATCGACACGGCATTCAAGAAAGGCGCAGGCCCTGCGCATCGCACGTCCAAGGTCAAGGCGCTGGAGGCAGCAGTGGCGCACACCGACAGAATGCAACCGTACCAGATGGCCGACAGGGAAATGGATGCCTGGCATGAGGTATGGTCTTGTCACGGTCAGGGGGAGCCAGTACTGCCTAGTGATGCGCTTTCATGTGGAATCTTCCTCCTCTTCGGCCTGAAGACCTGCCCAGGGCGGCCCTCACTTTCAAGTGGACGACGGCCACTGGGCCGACGAGGCTGCATCCTCGTGCCTTCTTCTTCCTCTCTGATGCTGGTTTGTTGGCGCTCTGCACACTGTACCACACATGCGAGCGGATGCTGTACTGGCCGACACAGAGAGTAGTCAATGAGATGGTTAGGCTTGCCATGCCCGATGGAGGCACGCGGCTGATCACTTTAGTCGAGAGCTTAGTACGTTTGTGGGCGCGCGCAAGGCGCCCGATTTCAAGAACATGGATTGTCCAGCATGGGAGCCCGTTCATATGGGGCAATAGGCGGGGACACTCTTCCAGTTACTCTGCATTTGCGCACAACCTGGAGGCGGAGATTGCTGCTTCTCTGGGAGAGAGTTCAGTCGCGGTGTTTTTCGATAGGCGGAAATGTTTTGAGACGGTGCTGTTCCCATGCATTGGTAGATGAAGCCAGGTGCCTGGGGTTCCCGCTACGGTTGTTATGGATGTTAATCAGTTCTTATTCCCAGCCAAGGGTAATAAAGGCGTTTGGATGTTGGAGCAAGCAGGTTGTGGTGTACCAGGGCATCCTCGCGGGCTGCACCCACGCCACCACCCTCCTCACCATCCTCACCTACAGGGCCCTCATGAAGGTGCACCAGATAGCCCCCAACGTGACCCCGAGAGCGCTCGTGGATGACAGCACGTTCCAATGGGTTGGGCCGTCGGGGACTTCTTCGGCTGAGTTGTTCTTGGGGATCCAGAGCTTCGTCAAGGATTCGGCCAAGTTGGGGCTCCTGCTGCAGGTCAAGAAATCGGGCTGGGTCTCCAACGCTAGGAAGGGGCACCGTGGGTTCCGCAAGTTGGCCTCCAGGATCAACCTCAAAGGCAAGAAGTGGGTCCGAAATCTTGGGCATGAACTTAGTGGGCCAGTTCCTGTGAGAAAACAAACTAAGGCTAGGATGAAGGGCTTGCAGGACAGGCTCCCAAGGCTTATTATGCTCCAGAAGGCGGCTGGCAACAGAGTCACCGCGATCTGGAGAACAGGACTCCTTCCTGCTGTTGCGCATGGCGCGACGGCATCAGGAGCCAGTGACCAAGAGTTTGCTCGTTTACGCTCTGTTGCTGGCATGTTATGTGGCCGTTCGACGGCAGCTTCCTTTCTCACTGTATATCTGGCTACGCAGGCTGACGCCAAGTACGACCCACTATACAATGCCACTATGGACCCCCTGAAGGCCTACTGCAGCTTCGTTTGGGACAACAGAGTTTGCCTTGGGAGACTGCAGAGGGCTTGGATGAAGGTTGACGAGGGGCTCAAGAATAAGGCTTCTTGGACCTCTGCAAGGGGTCCCATTGCCGTTGTATGGATGTCTTTGAGGAGAATAGGATGGGGCATGTATTCCGCCACGGGGATCTACTGCGACCTAGGTCACACGTTTGACCTCCTTCAGGTCTGCCCCAAGGATGTGCTGGAGTTGGTCAGGCAAGGCATCGAGCGCTGGCAAGGCATGCGCATACTTACACATCACAAGGAGGTTTGCTATGGGGATGAGGTCATATGGATGAGAGCTATGAGAAGATGTATTGGTGCTAAGAAGGC